GCCTTATCTTGTGCTTCCTCTGCCATTTTTCTTCAAGTAGGCTGCATTATGTTAAATGATTTCTTTTCTATTATAAGTTATACATTAGTAAAATCTATCGAAAGAGTAAATTGTTTTCTTTGCATTCTACTTGCATTAATGACATGAATAAGGAATGAGACAAAGAGTTTTGTAGTTGTGTTTGGATAAATAATTCTTAAATATAATTGGAAAATAAAAGAAAAAAATACTATCCAAAAAAAATATCCTGAGGTTGGAAACAGTATCATTTCTTGAAGCAACAAGTAGGTTCTGCAACAATTGATGTAATGCTTTCTAAAAGGAATCTATCAGTCATGTTGAGGGAGCACTAGAGAAAAACTCCCTAGGGCAACACAAGGGAGTTTTCATTTTGCCTCAAGGTTGGTCTCTTTGGAGAAACCTACCTGCATACACCATGAAGAAGACCAGAGGACAATATTATATTTTCCTCTCAATAGGTCATGGCTAAAAGCAAAACTTGGAATACTGACTAGCTAAATATCATTCTTTTGTTATTAGACAGTCGATGTGAATGGATACACACCAGAATTTACAGTAGACTATCAATGCAACTAGTTCCACTGGTGTGATACTTAAGATTATCTTAATGAGTATAATACTTAATAAGTGAGGCAGATGTGGAATAAATGTTGAAATAAAAACACCAAAAAGGCCTTTTGGGGGTGGCTGGTAGTAGTGGTCTTTCATAGGCATACTTTCAGAGGAGGTGATAAGATTTTGCATAGGCTTGATTGTTTTTTTCCTTAGTACATATTTTTATTTTATTTACATTTACCTATATAGTAACTAAAACAGACAATTATAATTTGTTGCACCACCTGACACAGAAAGTTAAGACACTGGCAGTACTATTCGTGGCTGCAATTATTGTAGGATAAAATTTTATAAATCAACTAAAATGTATCATATAGGCATGGGATTTTAAAGAGATTAGACTATAATAGTAAAAAGGAATTGCAGTTTCATGTGTTTTGTAAATCAGAAGGCTATGTGTTTTGCAGAAGTGGGAAGGTACTTGAAAAGGGAGGGAACCCTACAGAATTAGAAAAAAATGAGCTTGTAGCAATAGATAGTCTTTAGGGCAGTAGGCAAAGATGTCTGGGTAGAGTGGGTTCTTATGGATGGCGATCGGCTTTGAAATTTCCTCCATCTCTCAGCAAATGTGGTGTTCTATTGAATAAGACAGCAGGAAGCCAACCACCATCCTCTCTACTTGTAAGAGAAGGTATAAAGAACAAAATAATTGATGAATTCATTACTACTCCCTGGCTTGGTTAATGCAGTTCATGTACATTCTGGAACTCTGACCTGGAAGTGGGTTTTGGTTACACTTCAGGAACTATTTACCTGACATCACCATTTGGCTGCTTTATGGAAAGCAACCTGGGCCTGCCTCACCTCTAACGCGAATATTTGGTAGTTCTGTCATGATTGTGGAGCATAGGGACATATAAAGATACATCCATTATTGTGGCTGCATTTTATTTTGGTAGTGAAAAGCAAAGCAAAATGTATATAGTGAAAAATAAAATGACATATTCCAGTATGTGTTAGTGCAAGATCTATGAATAAACACACACACACACACATATTTAGTTAATGTTTTTAATACTTTTAATTTTGGAGTAATTTTAGTATTATAGAAAAGTTGTACGGTAGTCCAGATAGTTTCTACATTAGCTAGGGTTCTCCCTCCAGAGAAACAGAAGCGATAGGAAGTGTGTGTGTGTGTGTGTGTGTGTGTGTGTGTGTGTGTGTGTGTGTGTAAGATCTCCTGACCAGATCTCAATTTCCCATTGTCAGGTACAACTTATATCATCGGGAATCATGTAACCCTGACCCACAGTGTTTTGTTTTGTCTTTAAGAATGGAGATGTTGGCGAGGGACATGCTCACAACATGAAACATGAAATGCATGGCAGCTAGAGTGTAAATCAGCCACCGTGAGTTTCTATGTATGTGGGGACGGCGGAAGGGCTGGCAGTGGATTCACCCACCGGGTGGGGACTGTGGAGGACAGAGCAGGACTGCATTTCCTCTGTACACTTTGGCTATTAGACCTGTGTGTCTAAAAAAGAAAAAAAAAACAAGGCTCACCTTTTGTATTTAAATATTAAAAATGATCCCAACTGGAAAATATGCTATATAGAGAAAGAGGCATTATAATAAGAAATTGGCTTGCATAGCCATGGAGGCTGACAGGTCCTATCATTTGTCAGGGGCAAGCTACAGACCCAGCCTGTTGGGTAGGTCCAATCCGAAGGTTCATAGGCAGGAAATCCAGAAAGAGTGGATGTTTCAGTTTGAATCAGAAAGCAGGGGAACAAATGATGTCTCAAATCAAAGACAGTCAGGCAGAAAGAATTTGCTCTTATTTATAGAAGGGCTGTCCTTTTTGTTTTATTCAGGCCTTCAACTAATTAGACAGGGCCCATTCACATTAGGGAGGACAATCTGCTTTACCCAGTCTACCAAGTACAATGTTAATCTCATTCTGAAACACCCTCACAGACACACCCAGAATAATGTTTGAACAGATGCCTGAACACCCTGTGGCTCAGTCTTGTGGACACATAAAATTAAGCCCATCAGTTCCTATATGCCTCTTACCCATTTCCACCTAATGCTACTATCTTACATTACCATGGTATATTTGTGAAAGCCAAGAGCCAACATAAGTATATTACCATTTACTAAACTCTGTACTTTATGTGAATTTTGCCATTTTTTTCTATTAATGCTTTTTAAAAATGTTTCTTGGGTTCTGTCCCCGATACTGCAAAGCATTTGGAATTAATTTAGTTGAATTTTATAGTTATTTTATTGTAATATTATACCTTACTTTATTTGTTCATTTCCTGTAGATGGCAATTATTTCCAATTGTTTACTCTTACAAATGCAACTATTGTATAAAAGAAGTTGAACTCAGGTGAATTCATGAAGCAACGAAGAACACTTTTTCAGTTCTTTCTCCTGGCTCTTCAATCTACCCCACAATCTATCCTATAGAAGAAAAACCTAAGACTTATTCCATAGCATTTTGCATTACTTTTAGCCTTAAAATCAGTCTCTTTTTATTTTTTTTCAACTTTATTGAGGTATAATTAACACATAAAATAGTAAGATATTTAAAGTGTACAATGTGATGACTTAATATAGATATATATTGTGAAAGGACTACTCCCACTGAGTTATTATTTAAATAACACATCCATCACCTCACACATTTACCTGTTGTTGTTTTTTTTTTCAGTGAGAACATTTAAGTTACAAGTTTCAAATATACAATGCAGTGTTAGAAGTCACCTTTTAATAACTAAAGTGTATTATGTAATATAGTCATAAAAGCCTTGAACATTATTCAAAATAAATAGACTGCTTTTCTTCCACCTGGGGTCAGTTTCAAGGTTGGAGGCATGCCATGGTGAGTGGAGTATGGTTAGACGTCATTAGAAGTGAATTTTTAAACCTTGGGGGGCATTGGGCATGGTGAAGGGAATGAGGAATGAAGTTGTGTTAAGAAAAATTATCCCAAACTTGGAAAGAAGGCTAAATGGTGGTCAACATGTTTCTTAAGGTTACATGGATAGGTTTTTTTAACAGACCCATCTGAGGATTATCCATGAAAATATACTTTGTTCAACTCACTTTAAACAAAGTCCCAGGCTTTAGTGAAGCTACATGTTAACTTGTATTTTTTTTTTGTCCAAGAGAAATGCAGATAATTTAAAATAACTTCTGTGTTAGAAAAGATAACCCCAGAAATTACTGTTAGTTGTTCTATAGAAATCAACAAATTTTGTAAGTAACCAAGCAATCTTGTTTTCGTATTCATTTATTACATTGTCAACAAACCTCAATTCCTCAAATGTTCTTTGAACTGGGTATACTACCTTAATGCTTTCCTCTTCAGTTGCTTTTTCTTGATACTTGTTTATTCTGTATTTGCTTGAGTCATATGTTTAAACTTTTTGAAAATTAACAGGCCAAAGGACCGCGTTTTACTTTTGGGGCAGTTATTTAATCTGGCCTCTGTTTCCACTGGGCAATGCAGATGCATAGTTAGTTGGGGGTTACTCTTTTTAGGTGTGCTGTTTTGCATTTTTAGAGATCCTCTTGCAGTGATTTCTGACTGAAGCCCCTTGGCAAATGACGCCTGTCCTCTGGAAGGCTGCTTTATTATACTCCTTTCTTCACAGATGGGTCTAGCAGACCCATCCAGCTCTTTTGTTGGAAGTCCACTGTCTTTGCCGATTCGAGTTACCCACCATTCCTCCGTTCACCTCCATTAGTAAAGTGCAAGTTTCTCTGAATGCAGTCAGCTAGGAAGATTGTCCCAACCACAGCCTTTCTTCTTCACCCTTCTCCAAATGATAATCAGACACCATGCTCTGTGGTTCCCAAACCTGAGAGAACACTTATTCAGCTCTTTAGGCATTTGGCCCGAAATCTCCTCTTTTAGCTTGAAATAAGAAGAAGCAGCCTTCCCAACTCCTATTTTTCCCACAAGGGGACTCATTATATCAGCATCTCTCTCTCTGAAGAAATCTCCTCTGTCTCTTTACTTCTTCCATATTTCCTTGGTTATTCTTCGTAATTGTGAATAGTGTCATTCATGAACATGGTCTGTTTCTTCAGTTTCTTAGAACTTCTATTTACTTTAATATAATTTTATTCATAAAAGTCTTATACAACATGACAAGCTTCATTTATTTGTACCTTGTACTTTTAGGTTTTATGATATATATATATATATATATATATATATATAATGTATTATTTAATTATGATTGTAAAGTTTTCTGACTTTTGATCATTAATTTTATGGTGAACAAACTAGCGTTCACTATTTTATTTCTATTGATTTCTAGATTTTCCAAAGGTTTCCTGTCCTATACAATTAATGAAAAATGTATTGTTTTATTTCTAAATTTGTATCATATATTTCATTTCCTAGATTTATTGAAATCGGCCAGGATCTACCACCCTCCCTGACCAACACACGGCCTATAAGGTTAAATGGAAGTGATGATAGTGAGTGTAACTTTATTCTTCTATCTTATTGGAAATGCCTAAAATAACTGCAAATGTGATGCTAGGTTTAGGTTTATTGGCATGTTTGAGATATTTTCTTATTTAGTTGAAAAAAATAGCCTACTTTATAGCTAACATTTTTTATTTGATTGTAATTTATTTTGAGTTTTGTAAAGGTCTATTTTTTAAATGTATTTGTATGATCATATGCTTTTCCCTTAAATCTTTCAATTTCCTGCATCAATCACTGTTTTAATACTTTTTAAAAAAGAAAAGACTTTGAATTCTTGCAGTGGAGCTTTAATGATGACCATATGCATAAATACCTTGGTACATAAGTATGAATAAAATGTAAAAATAATTGTACACAGAGAAACAAATTTAGGAGAGTTGCTTCTATGTCTTGTATTCCATATGAATTCTCTGACAACACTTATTCCTCCCTTCTTTTTGCATTATAATGTATCTTAAATAGTAAACTTCAAATGCACAAAATATTCTATATAATGTGGAATCTATTTTTATTCAAGCACTTGTGATTGACATAGGTTGCGTATTTGGATTTAAACTTGGATATTATGTATTAGCAGTTTAGGTCCTTTTCCTTAATGCTTTTGAGGGGGAATAACATAATTTCTTTTCTCCATGCAAATATCAGGGAAATTAGAAGATTCAGACAAATCATAAATATGCAATACAGTTATATTGTGGAAGCAAAGTTTTATGATTATTGTCATTCATGAAATGTGTTCTCAATAAGCATTGACGAACTCCTGTAAATGCAGCAGCATTTGCTAGGAATAGCAAGGCCAGAACAAACCCACACATCATTAAAATATAAAGCTCGGCTATAACTCATGCAATTGTTAATTTTCTTTAAGTTATGTTTCCTGATAATACAAATATTGACAGAAGTATAATTGTTCTACCTATGTTTTTCTGTGAAGCCCTCTGAGCACTGAATCTTACATATTGTGGCTGCTCAGTAAATCCTTGAATGTTTGGCTGACTTCATTCCTTTATTCCTATTAACAGGAACATCTGCATTCATCGACTATCTACTTAGAAAAACAGCCTTCAGGCAAAACTTTAAATAAGTGGAAATTATTTACAGTAGAAAAGGGAAAAGTCAGAATTGACTTAAAAGTTAAAATGAAAAAGTATAATTTTATTTTTTCAGAGTAGACATACTTGAAACTTTATCAGGTATGATTATTATTATAAAAAATGTTAGCAAGAGTTATTAAGTGAAGGCCATTATGATAATTAATATGTGGTTATTATATTGTCTAATTTGTTCCCTCTGTTTTTTAAGCATTTGTTTTTGTAATAGAAAACAAGGCTGATATTATATCCCCAGTCATCACTGACAATGAAGCAGGTTATTAATATGCACATGTCTATTAATATATTTCCATATATTCAATATCAATTACTTCAAAACAAAACAAATAATGAAATGTCTTAGCCCCAATTGCTGACCAACTGCTCAAATTCCTAACTTTTAACACTGGACTTCATAGCTTTCACAGAAAATCCTTGAACTAGTTCATTAAAAATCACCTGTGCTACTATAGCCAAAAATATTTACAATGTCCCAATTAAAATAGCAAACAGAACCTTCTTAGAAAAGTCTGAATAGGGCATAACCCTTCACAATGTCAGAATCTATGGGGACTCAAAAGAAAAGAAAGAAAAAGCAGAGAGCTACAACCTCACGCACACACACACACATACACACACACACACTCTCCCTTCCCCACCCTGTGTAACAGCAACAGACATGAGCAAAATTCAGCATAGCAGGTTGCTATTAATTCAGAGATTTTATTTAAGAATATTAAGTTCTCAAGGCTAAAACCTAGAAAGGAAGGAACAAAGAAATAAGTATCATACTATATAAAATAATGCCTAATAAAACATACTAATCTCTTGGTATAATAGCCATATGGGAATTAATTTATACCCATGGCTAAAAACTTTAAAAATTTGTAGAATTCAAATATTAAAAATTAATCATCAAGCAGGCATTATTAATCTTCAAAACAAAAATCAAGTTAAAACTGCTGTTTTATACCGTATGTAAAAGTCAATACCTAAAAGATTAAAATCCAAGTAAAAAAAAAATAGAAAGACATTTTACAAAATACAAGCTAAAAGGAAAAATATATGTAATATATTTAAAGACAAGAAATTAAAATTCCCCAAATGGGAAAACAAGTCAGAGAAACATAAAGTAACTGGGAGAAAATATTGGCAATGTAAAAACGAAAAAAGGGTGGAATGATATTCTAATATACCAGTAGCTCCTACAAATCATAAGTTAAAACCGGTAACCAAATGGAAAAGAAGGTAAAGGCTATGACAGCAATATACAAAGTAGAAAAGATTATCAATTCATATTTTCAATAAGTATATAAAAAGGTGTTCAACCTTTTTATTGATCTGGAAAAGGCTAATCAGTGATCAACAATTTTCATTGCTCATATTGGTAAAAAAGTTAAAGATTTAATAACATCCAGTTCTGGTAAGGGTGATCAAATGAGCATGCTCATATATTTCTGATGAAAGTGGCTATCTCAGTGACCTTTAGGGAAACCAAGCTGGCAGAATCTAAAATTGAAATATGCATTCCTCTAGACTCAACAGTCTCACTTTGTAGTTAAAATATGGAAAGAAAAGCCCCGTCATATAAAGATATCCTGCAGAATTCCTTGAAGTAATAAAAAAATAAAAGCATCCTAAATACCCATCAATAGGAAAATGACTAAAAAAAATCATAACATTCTATAAATATCTGATATTATATGGTCAATCAAAAAATGGATTTCTATATAAATGTTTAGTAAATGAAGTAAATTGCAGAGTAAGATATATGATAGGTGGCATTTTGTAGACATAAATTTTAATGTGTACACGTATGTTTCCTTGTTTATGTGGCTATAGAAACTTGAAAACATGAAAATTATACGGTTCATATTTTCTCCTTGAAGAGTAAAAGAGAGGGATGGAGACAAGGGAGTAGGTAGAGAATCTTGGTATTTACTTCTTTGTATCACCCATCGCAATGTGCTTCTTACGCTTTTGTCATTTGACAGGATAATCCAATAGAGCATAATTCTTAAATTTTACTGAAATGTGCGTGCAAGTCTGACAAATATTTTAAGGTACAAAGCTCAGTTTCTCATAGAAAAGAAAGACATTTTTCTCTTCCATTTCACAATTACTGCAGTCTTTATCCAATAGCTGATACTGAGCTTTACCAAGGTTTATGAAATCTTCAAAATTGTCAGGAACCTTCAGAGGCAAGGAATGTTTCCTTTCAGGGCATTTCGGCTGTTTGGATGAGCACTAACAGATTGTGGCTGTTGGAAAATCGTGATCTAGTCTGAGTGATAAAGTGAAGCACTGTAGTTCATGGCAATAAATGCCACCTGAAATGACTGTATCAGTCAACTAATATTAAGAACATATTTGAGGGCACAGTATCATGTCTTGGTGTTTGACACCCGGGTACAAAATATTTTCTAATGTTTATTAGCATCATATTGCTTGATAAGACAAGGAAGCTTTGTTGGTTTCAGAGGTGCTTTATTCCCAGGACCATTATCCACTGTTGCCTTTGACAATGTAGAATTTGAGATTTTGTAAAACTGTAAACCCTTTAACTTGACTTGTGGATGCATTTACAGAATATTCATTCCATAAGTACTTATAGCCTTATAATATAGTGTGAGTTGAGTGCTTTAAGACAATTTTTAAATTTGGTGTTTCAAAATAAGAAATTAAAATAATCAACATACATTAAATAACTTTAAAAATTAATTGTATGAAACTGACCATTCTGTTTTGGTGTTAATAAAATCTATATTGCCATTGGTTAAAAATATTCCATAGCAAGAGATTATATACAATTCTCATTAAATTAAAATAAATCCCATATGACAAAAAAAAAGCAAATACTTTGGGGGAAAAAAGTGTCAAAACCATCTGCATGTTCAGAAACTTAATTCAAAATAAATGTCGATCATGTCAATCTGAAAGGTATGTTTGGATGCTCATTCACTTTGTATATTGACTTAGAAGAGTGTTTGTTTCCAAACCTCGCTGTGCATAGTCTGATTTTTTCCACCACTCTTCTTATATTACTAATTAACTTCTATTAATGTAACTTGTTAAATGCCTTGGTAGGCTATAGCAGCTCTTCATACAATATTTCTCCCTGGGCTTCTGATTCCTATTGTTTTTTCCTGTTCTTTCCATGCCTCCAACTCTTTCACCAATATTTGCAGCAAAGCTAACTCTAACCTCTATCAGTGACTGACAATGTTCATTCTAATCTGTTCTAGTGCCACAGATAAACAAAATTTTACCCTACTGTTTTCATTAAGTTAAATAATTTTTATTTACTTCTGCTAGTTTGTCCCATTTCCCATTTTCTCAATTGCATGATGATTTTTACTTGTATTTCAGTTTCCTTGATAATTTGTATATATCCTACATTTCATGGAGAAGACATGATTTAACTTACATACTCTTCATTTATTTTTATTTGTTTTCTTGCATTTTGTGAAATGTGCTTGAGTAATGATAACTAACTTCTTGTATATAAAGAGGGAGTATAAACCACTAGCAGAGCATAGGAAAATCCTTGAATAAATAAATGTTTTTAGTTTATCCACCACACTCTAGGATGACAGTTCGAATACAGGGGAAGAACTTAGCTAACAAAGATGTTAATATCCCTTTCACATTTCAATGAAAAAAGCAGAGTCTTAAGAAAAAATACGTTGAATAACATCCCTAAGTCTGTTGCCCCCTTTTGAGACTGGACCATAATTTATTTTGTTTTTAAGATGTCCTAATTGATAGATCATCTATTATTTATATATTTACTGAAACTCTGTAAGTAAAAGCCCAAATTTAATCTGGCAAGTCTATTAGGAATCCGTTTTTCTTTTCTAGTTATAAGATATATGCTTTTCAGTTTAATCAATTTA